TTGGTGGAAACTCTGGCTGCCCCTGACCATCACCTAGAATATGGTGAACTTACAAAACCATAACTGAGGCAGAGTCCCGACCTCAGAAGGATAGAATCACAGACATGTTGACGTGAACTGCGGATTTTTCCACAGCACTCTTTTCTGATGGTCATGGAGCATTTACTTAAATCCTAGTAACAGCTGGGAGTTCCCAACTTTGTAGAGCAGTTACTTCATTTTTCACTCGTTTTATTTTCTGGAAGGTTTCTTGTCATGTGTAAGTCTGCAAACCCCAACTCCATCCTTCCCTTTGTGTTCCACTTCCTAGTCCTGCTTTCTGTTGCAGCAACTCAGAAAAACTGTTCCTTCTTCCACTTATATGGAGGATATTTTGTGTCTTTCCTTGGCCGCCCAATTTTGGAACCCTTTCAGTACTTAGAGAAGTCACCAATTTGTGAATCTTGTAGAGGGGGGAGGCAAAGGCAGAAATATTTATTCCCTGTCTCCCTTAGCTCCCTTAGGACAGACGGGCCACAGACAATGCACTGTAGCAGCAAGCAGGGGTGAGAGAGCTTGCGGGGGGCGGGGGGGTCGTTTCTAGGGTCTGTGGCACAGCAGAGCAGCAGCAATGCCCAGAGTGCAGAGCCAGGGCGATGGCAATATAAGCCATGAGGTCACACGTGCCGTGGGTTAGCAATAGCGTGTGCTCACTGGACTGCTTTTGTGGGGTGATTTGGGACGGAATCCTGGCTACTACTAACCCTTCCTTGTTCCTGCCTATTTCCCAAGCCTGGCTGTCCAGGCTACTCTGTAAATGACTTGGGAGCTACTCTGTAATTGTCTGCCTAAACCACTCAAGGTCCATTTCTGTTGCTTCCCTCTAGCAACCCTGGCTGATACAGCATGACAGCCATTCAAATAGTGGCCATAGCCCTCGTCAGTTTGGCTCAGTGGTTAGAGCATCAACCCAAGGACTGAAGGGTTCCCGGTTCGATTCTGGCCAAGGGAATGTACCTGGGTTGCAGGCTCAGTCCCCAGCCCTGGGTGGGGCACATGCGGGAGGCAACCAATCAATGTGTCTCTCTCACATCGATGTTTTTCTCTCTCTCTCTCTCCTTTCCACTCTCTTTGACAAGCAATGGGAAAAATATACTTGGGTGGGGATTAGAAAAAAAAAATAGTGGCAATAGCTGCTGTGTCTGTCATAGTTCACTATTCCCTCTTCTCTACAGATATAGGCAGTTAACATGTAATAAAATTAACAAGGTTCTCAGAAAAATCTGGTACTATTGAATAATGTTAAAAGGTCTGGTTAATTTTATATAAGCTTAAATCTGTTGTTAGTTACTAGATCTATTTATTTATGTGATATAGTAAAATTATATGGAAATATGCATGTGACATGAAGGAAAATTTATGCCTCAATATCAAATCTGCATGTTAGGAGAATATCTCAGAAGAGAAATTAAAAGCTGGTTTTGTTTTTTTAATCTTCCTTTTCACTGAATTTTATTTTATTTTTTTAAGAGAGAAGAGAAGGGACAGAGATAGAGAACACTGATTGGCTGTCTTCTGCACGCGCCCCAACCAGGCGGTAGATTGAACTGGAAACCCAGGTATGTGCCCTGACCAGGAACCAAACCCAAGACCTTTTAGTGTAAACGATGATGCTCCCACCAACTGAGCCACACCAGCCAGGGCATAAAAGCTGATTTTTATTTTTAAAGTTAGAAATATTGTTTCTTTTAGGTCAGAATAACACTTATTCATTGTAGTAATATTAGAAATTACAGATAAAGCAAAAATATGCCCACTACTCCATCACATAGAGATAATTGTTACTAATCCATGATTATATCTATATCTATATATTTTCTTTTTTAATCCTTGCTCAAAAAATGATGAATTGCTATACATACTATTTTATAATTTGCCTCTTCCATTTTGACAATGCATTGTAAATGTCTTCTCCTATTAATAAGTATTATCTAATGGTATCCTCGGCCTTGTTTTCAAGATCAATTGTTAATTCTGCACCCTTCTTCCAGGGTCAGCCTAAGGGAGCTCTGATTCATTCACTCACATGAAGACCAAGATCTAGAGCTTGAAAATGTGCCATCTTCCCTACAACTTACTCTAGTCTCTGCCCTGAGTTTTTCTTATACTCGGGCCTTTTTGAAACTGGAGAAATGTGAGAACTAAACTTCCCAGGTGGTAGTATACATGCACTTCATTTTCAAAATTTAAAAGAATCTACAGAAATGAATAATTTCTTTTTGTCAATGCCTGTTTTCAAACTGATTACTGTTCTGGTCCAGACACTGCTGATAACTCAAAGCAATGGATTGGCAAACATCAAGAATCATTTCATTTGGTATTTGTGCGCCCGCAATTTGTAGACTGTTTCTGGTTTTGTAACATAAACTTTATCTTTTATGTATCCCCATAAAAAAAAGTCTAGTGGAACTTTAGGATAAATTTTCTTTGTTCAAAGCTTAGTATAGCTTCACACATTATTTCAAACCAGTTACACCTGAAAAGGAGTGAAAATTAAATGAGTTATCAGCTGTTCAAATGTATATATTTTAGAGAGTGGACACCCTACATTTTTAAGGACTTTAGACATTATCTAAAAATATGACAAAGTCACATAGTTTGAAAAATTTGATGTAACTTTTTAAATTTGAGGTTTACAAAATCAGTTCCATGGAACCTTACAAAGTATTCATAGGTATTATATCTAAAAACAGTTGACTCAGTATATGTTCTGTACATGTTTAACTATACTACATTAGCAACATATGTTTGGTTAATTTCAAAGCTATTCTTACAATACCATATTCATATTAAAATGAGGTTTAAAATAGTATAGAACCAACCAAGTTATCTTTGTGGGTCTGGGGAGAGGTTATCAATTTTAAAATAAAATTTGTTCATATTAATGGGCTTCATCTCAACTCTGACATTTTTAAAATCCCTCCCAGACTATTCCTACCTACTTTTAATAATTTTTCTTAATATTATTTATTGAATTCTCAGAAGCATCTGTAAATTGTGTAGAAATTTTCATAAATACAATTGACATCTGGATCTGTAAGCTGAAATGAACTATATATATCCAGATGCTAAAAGTTATGGAAAAGTTATAAAGTTGTTTTTGGAATATTTATAAAGAATCTTTTATTTAATTGCATTTAGGCTTTGAAGAAATCATTTTTTTGTAATGTATACATATAATTTAGTATTGAAGATAAGTTATTGTTGTTGATAAAATCCCAGTTCAGTGTGTCCAGAATGTATAGAAAAAAAAGATAAGTTAAATTTGGAAGAGATATTGGAATGACCGAAGCTTGTGCTACTTGATGGAAAACCATATATGGAAGAAACCAACATACGAATACTAATGGGTGATTCTGGACTTTAGCCTTATTAACAGTGGTGATATGCAGGGCTGCAAACAAGATGCTGAAAATAAAGGAAAAGCTTTCCCTCATAATGAAAGCTTTTCTTTTAGGAACCATGGCTTCACTCTAGTCATTTGGCCTTAGGCTTCCATTCCTTCCAGGAGAGACTCTTTTTTAACTTATCTAAGTATTGTTTGCAGAAATACTTACAGGACTTTGCCATATGTGTCACTGCTTTAAAGTAATGCTCATCGTATAGGTGCTTATCTCAGAATTATTGCTAAGGTTCATCTCTTTCACTTTAGCAACTGTTTGGTTGGGTAGTGAGAGGATTCTATTTCTAATTTTAACAGTGTGACGAGTAGAGAAAAAGTCTAATTGATTTGCCAAAGGTCAGAAAGCAAGTCAAAGGCAGTGCTTGGCCCAGTGCTCCAATTTTCTGAAATCAGCTTAGTGTTTTTAATCATATATATGTATTGATCAATTAATATTGTTATTCTTCTACTATCTCCTTGAGCATTAAAGTGACACACAGGCCCTATTCTCATTTGTAAATGGTCAATCAAGTAATCATTTAATACATATCATTTTCTGAAATGTAGTTCTGTTGGGTATTACTCACTCTGGCTTTGAAATAAGACAAGTAAGCAGATAAATAACACAGGTGGCATACAAAAAAATATATTTTTAGTAGAGAACCTATTTTCTGAGTCAGGTAGGTAAAACAAGTCACTTTCACGTATTTGATTTACAAACATGAACACCCTACCATTCAGCAACTAAAATATAAACATGGGCCAATGACCTCAGGACCCTACCAACAAGGTACTGGAAGTTCAATATGTTTAATGTCATATTTACACGGCCTCTGATAAGTTCCATAGCATCCCCTTCCCTGTCCCTACTTCCTTCCAGGCAAATTTCTGTCACTTGCTTAGTTCACGTTTTAAAATTCCTCTCATTTAGGAATAATGATTTGTCTTCCGTAATTAGTGATGACTTACTAGAAATAACCCTACTTAAGTTGGCATACCATACACTGTGGATAAATGGTTATTAGAGGTGTTTCTCCAAAATGCAGGTTTTGATACATTGTAGTTGAGAAACTGGAGATATATTAAGCAAAAAGTGGAAGACTGAAAAAAAGGAGCACTTGGAGGTACTAAAGAATAACTGTCCATTTTCAGAGCCCTGCCTGCTGATGTTCACTGAGATTGAGGAATGGAAGTATGGTGACTGTGGGTTCAGGTGAAGATGGTAAGTAAAGCTCCAACTGATCGGAGCCTGCTTCCTGGCTAGGATTCTGGTAGACCTTGAAAGAGGACCTATGAGTGTATGTATATTCAAATCTGGAATCTCAACATAGCTTTAGAACTAGAAGGGAGTGATTTTCAATACAGTATTCCCCCCTTATTTGTGGTTTCACTTTCTGAGGATTCAGTTACCTGAGGTCAACTGGGGTCCAAAACTATTAAATAGAAAATTCCAGAAATAATTTGTAAGTTTTAAATTGGGTGCTGTTCTGAGTATTGTGAAGAAATCTCACACCCTCCAGTGCTGTCCTCTCAGTAAGTAAATCATCCTTTTGTTAAGTATATCCACCCGTTACTTTACCTTCCCAGGGATCAGACTGACTGACGCAGTATCACAGTGCTTGTGTTCAAGTCACCGTATAGCAGCCTCATGCTACATCACAGTGCTCATGTCATTCACCTCGCTTCATCTCATCCTGTAGACAAGAAGAGTGAGTACAGTAAAATAAGATATTTTGAGAGAGACCATATTCATATAACTTTTATGACAGTATATTATTATAAATTTTCTACTTTTTATTAGTTATTATTGTTAAGCTTTTACTGTGCCTAATTTATAAATTAAATCATCATAGGTGTGTATATATAGGAAAAATATAGTAAATATATAAGGTCTGGTACTATCTGCGATTTTAGGCATCCCCTGGGCATCTTGGAATGTATCCCCACAGATAAGGGGGGACTATTTTAGTTCTTCCAAAATGATTTCACTAGTTTCTAATGAAATGGCTTGGTAAGAAAAATTAATAGGTATTATTTTCATGTTGTTCTTCATATGATGACCCACATGATATCACCCTGGTCCATATTTTCCACTGTGCTCTCTTTACTGCATATGACTATAGCTAGTCTTAGCTGCATGATTTTCCTCTTTCTTGCATGAACTGTTCATGCTCCTTTTGGGTCCACAGAGCCTAGTGTATTCAACCATGTCAATGCCTCCACCTCTCCTCACCATCCTTATTTTTTTGGTAAGACACAAGGTTTCACTTTTGAAGTATACCCTTCCCAGTCGTTAATTAAAAGGTTAAACAAAGTTCACTTATTTCTGAAATTTACGAACACTTTTAATGTATCCTTTCTTCAAAATCACTCAGCTCTCCACTCACTATGTCTCATTTTCTATTTTTGCCCTTTTCAATTAAATATAAGAAATTAAGTTCAATAATAAATACAGTTAGCGTGGTAGGGTTTGGTAGAAAAAAAATAAAAAAAACATAAAATGAGAGACTAATCTGGTCATGTCACTCTGTGGTTCACTGTGTTACCTCTCCCCTATGCCATCGAAAATATTCTCTTTATATTTACAACATCGTTTCTCACTTCGCCTTCACTTGGTTTACTTTTATTGTTGTGTTCTGTGCTCCACCCTCACCTTGCACAGCCCGTGGCTGTGTTACATTCTTCCTTAAGTGGTCTGGACACTGAGCTATATACTATTTCAGCCCCTTTCACACTATTGATGTTGCCACTACACTGAGGATTATTTGAGGACAGTAATAACGTGTTTGCATGTTCTCATTGTTAAATCTTACAGTCTGCTCTAGGAAATTCAATAAACATTTGCAAGCAAGAAGGAAGGAAGGCAGACAGAGGGGAGAAGGGAGAGAAGAGGAAGAGTTCGAAGAAAAAGAAAATGCAGTTTTTAAGTGATTAATGAACATTACCTAAGTAATGGTGTTTGTCCTTCAGATTTTAACTCCACAGTTCTGTGCCTATTCACATTATTTGTATTGGTTCATAGAAATAAACCACTAGCTGGAGGCTAGTGGATAAAGCAGTTGCCTAGTCCAAGCACAGCCACAGAAAATGGAACATTTTTATTTTTGTTTTTAAAAATAATTTGGTGACATACAGGTATATCTCATTTTATTGTGCTTTGTAGATATTGTGTTTTCATCAACATCGAGGCAGACCCTCCACCAGCAAAAAAATTGTGACTCACAGAAGGCTCAGATGATGGTTAGTATTTTTTAGCAATAGAGTATTTTTAATTAAAGTATGTATACTTTTAGACATAATGGTATTGCACTTACTAGACCATAGTACAGTGTAAATGTACCTTTTATATACACTGGGAAACCAAAAAATTTATATTACTCACCTTATTGCAATATTCACTTTATCGCAGCACTTGGTTAATTTCAGTTGTCTGGAACCAAACCCACAATATCTCCAAGGTGTGCCTGTGGTTGGTAAGACAATGATGAAAAGGGAAGAGATGGATCGGTGAAATTCTGATCGAGAGACAGGGAGAGAACGACTTCCCCGCCAAACAGCTCCTTGGCTATAATGTTGTACACAAGCATGTGTCTAATGACCGCAGCTCCTTGGTGATGGTGATGACAAGCAATGGACAGTAATTTCCAAACTCTTTTCTTTCCATTTCACATAATACACATTCCCTTGAGTCTAGTTTGGGTTAACTCTCATTTACTCTCCATAATCCCTCATTTAACGCAGACAGGTTATAGATGAAACTCTCCATGATAAGTAAACTGAAGAAACTTAGAAGCAGTAAGTGGCTTCCATTTTTTACTTGTGTGGAATAGCACATAAATGCCCTATTTCTGTGAAAATGCCAATTATTTGTGAGTTATAATGCTAATATTAACTCTTTAGCAAATTATGTATTTCTATAAATTTCCAAGTGTGGGTCAGCACTATCTGCTTTGTAACCATGACTCAGATGATCAGTGGCTCAATTTCTAAAGATCCTGAGGATTTCTTGTAAACACCTAGTCCTAGCACAGCTCCCAGCTCCATTCTTCAGTGTCCTGAGCAAGCATCAAGAAACACTGCTGAAGGCATTCCCTGTTCCCTTTGCATTTCTTTCTGATTTCCATGACACACTTAATCTGGGTCTTGCCTCGTCAACTTTTAATAGTTCTAATTGCCCACCTATCTGCTCTTGCGCGCTCATAAAACCCTTTTAACATTTTACTTTTCCCCTTAAGAAAATGTATCCCGGTTTCCGGGATGTGACCTTCAGCTTCTTTCATAAATGCGCAGGCAGAGAATCCATGCAGGCTCTCAGCCAGGACAGCCTCATCTGTCACTGACTTCCCACTCGTCCCCTTAATGGCCCTATGGATGCCTTGCTCAGTTGTGTGCTTTTAATGTCATAAAAGAAGTTTGTCCTCTGATTTGGTCATTTCTTTGCCTCTTTTCCTCCCCTGGGTCCTTTTAGAGTTCCCTTCCAAGTAGAGAGGATTTCATTTTCCATTCTCTTAAAAATGTTGGATCTTGAAAAGGGAGGGGAAGCTGTTCTTCGCTGCATCATTTTAGAAATTACTTTTCCACTTGGATCTTGTAAAATGCTAAACAAATTTACCACTTCTTAGTGGGACTGGCATACTGGGTGATGCTGCGTTTTTTTAAAAACCACTTCCCTGCTCTTTCCCCTGACCCTAATTCAGTGACTTGTGTCTTTCCGAATTGTATTTTATTTTCTGTCTTCTTAAATTTCCGCGTTGTCTCTGAACTCACCTCTACTTTCTATTTGGGATTAAACCATATGCTGAATGAGATTTAATCACTGCTTTCCCTAGCCTCTCTTCCCTTTGAGTCCTAAATATTATTCAATCCGAAGCCTGGCGTTCTTCCCTCCCTTTGCGGGTTGATGCAGTCATTCAATTAGAAAGCAGCCTTGCGCCAGGCCAGCCCTGCGTCCCCCGATGCAATCTTGTCCTGTGCCTAGGTCATTAAACCCTGCCACTGTTACCACCCTGCCCTGTTCTCGCTCTGTGCGTGCGCTATTGCAAAGCTCGTCTGTGCCCAGACCGCCTGTAACACCCGTTACCGCGTTTTGACCAATTTATCTTACAGAGCCCGGTCCTTCCCCGGCCGCTTTAGCAAACTGAATTAGCAAATGTTCCCTGTCAACAAACGCGCCCCCTTTCACTGCCCGCTGCTTCTCGCGGCGACGGGGGCCTCGTGCCGGCGGTCGGGACGGGTCGATGAAAACCCGGGGCGTTAACGCACCAGCCGCCGCGAGGTCCTGCCCCGTCGCTGCCCGCTCTGGGGCCTCGGACACGGTCAGGGCGCACGTCGCGGGCGGGCGGCCTTGGAAAATGGCCGCATAGCTTAGAAAGAAACGGGGCCCTGCGTATAAAGGACATTTTGAAAATCTAGGAGCAGCCTCGGGATTGTTTGCTGCCGCCGCTTCTAGGCAACAGGCAGGAGATGTTTACAATCGGGGCTCTCCCCGCCCCCACCGCCAGGAGCTTTTCAGCTGCGG